CTATATCTCTAAAAGACACACATTCCATAATAGTTCTTTGAGTAATGAATTTTTATTTTTTTCTATATTTAGGTAACTATTTTCATTTGCATATTTTTGACTAGTAAAATTATTTAACCTATTCATAATAGGATAATATTACCGATAGTTACAAATAACATCACCTTATTTTGAATAGGGCAAACAAATTTATTGGTCAAATCGCATAAAAAAATAAGGTTATTTGAAGGGAAAAAAAAAAAACCAAAGTTCCAACTCTTAGGTTATTCGCTATTTGAATTGCTTTAACTAGTTTGTTTTAACACTACAAGGACAACCAATATTGAGTTATATGAATTATATGGGATGTTAAAAAGGGTAGGTGGTGATACGATTTTTGTTAGGTATCTAAAGTACCCATGCCATTTGGATTCTTGAAAGTAAACACCAGAATGGAAGGATAAATTTTGACATCTGCTCATGAAAGGAACTTATCTTGTGCCATTAATGTGATTGCGCAGTGGGAAAGATAAGGCACATGCTATTTTTAAAGGCGAATATTTGTTTTATGTGTATTATTAATTTTATTAATAAAACGAGTGTTCTAGAGTATGTATTTTTTTTATTTTATTTTTTATTTTATTATTATTATTATTATTTTTTTTAATGCATTGTTTAATTACATTTATCATCTTATCCTATTGGGTAAATGACACAAAAAACACTCTTTTTATACAGAAATTCGATTTTGACACCGTGTTTTTTTTTTGTGTCAATTTTGACACTGTGTTTTCCAATTTGTTACAATTCTGACTACTTGACCGGTTAACCAGGTTACATGCTGACGTGGCATGATGACGTGTCAGTTTTGATGACGTGGCATGCTGACATGATATGCTGACGTGTCAAAATTGAATTTTTTTTCCACAAAAAACACTAAGTTTTCACTTTTTTTTTTCGATTTTAAATCTAAATTTAATTTTTTATTTCAATTTTGACACCATGTTTTTTTTTGTTCCAATCGAACATCATTTATCAAATTTTGTTCAATTTTGTCTATTTTCCATTTGAAAGCATATAAATCTTTTTTTATTACATTTTAAACCGTATAAACATATTTTTTTCGTTTAAAAACCACATTTTTATTTAAATATAACGTGTTTTTTTTCTTACATTCAAAGCATTAGTTATACCATGAGAATCAAACTAACCATAAGCTTCTAATAAGATGTAAAAATTTGATGAGTTGCAAATTTGATATCCGAATTTTGATCGACTACACGCCTCCAAACTTCCAAACACATTTTAAAGTTGCATATTAATATAAAATACAATTTTTATATAACTAATACATATTTATACATAAAAATACGGTTTGAGTGTAAGAAAGTATTTATAAAAAACTATGGTTTTTAAAAGAAAAAAAAACAGATTTATACGGTTTAAATGTATTTAAAAAATATTGATACGGTTTCAAATAGAAAATTGTCAACTTTGAACAAAATTGGAAAAAATGATGTTCGCTTTGGAACAAAAAAACATAGGGTCAAAGTTGAAAGAAAAAAATTAAACTTAGTGTCAAAATCGGAAAAAAAAAACCTAGTGTTTTTTGTGAGAAAAAAATTCAATTTTGACACGTCAGCATATTATATGAGCATGCCACGTCATCAAAGCTGACACGTCAACATGTAACCTGGTTAACCGGTCAAGTGATCAGAATTGTAACAAATTGGAAAACAAAGTGTCAAAATTGACAAAAAAAAAAAAAAAACACGGTGTCAAAATCGAATTTCTGTATAAAAAGAGTGTTTTTTGTGTCATTTACCCTATCCTATTTCTATTTGAATATTTAGTAATATTATCAAATTTGTTTTAAGATTGTTAAAGAACAAAAACCTTTAAACGTTTAGTTTGATTTCAATGTTTTTATAGCATCACAAGCTCGATCTTGCACAAATAAAAGAGGGTGATGATGTCTATCGATTCAAATAAGAGTTTGATTGTTATCTTTGTGGAGAAAAGTCTTTAGGTGTGTTTGGGAAAGACTTTTTGTAAAAGTCAGTAATTCTTTACTTTTTGTAAAATCATTTTTTTGTCTAAAAAGTTATCCTTTTATCATACATTTTTTAGGTATTGACTTCAATAAATTAATAAATCATTTAAAAAAAACACTCACAAACACCCCACCTTTGTATTGATGCAAATCAAGAAACAATGACCAAACTCTTGATGCTTCCTCCCCGTGAAAAAAAGTCATTTTCAATTGTTTATCTTAGTGACAGTAAAGTCAAGAAGGCTAGTGATGTTGCATAGTCTTTCTGAAAATATTGTTTATTTTGTTACTGGTTTTGCTTGTTTGTTGTGTTTTTGGTTATATTTGTTTTGATGACTGATCTCAAAATATGTATTGTAATTGTTTCTCGAACAGTTTTTATATCGTGTTTAATGGTAATTGTTGTTTGTTATTGGTTGAGGTAATAAACTTAATGAATTGCTAACTGTTTTCGTTTATGTATGATTGAAATGATGATGTACTTTCTTTATTATGGGTGAAATGGTAATATACTTCGTACATTACCTTGTGGTAGTATACTTTCTTTGAAGATTCTAAAATGGTTGAAGTGGTAATATACTTTATTTGAAGATTCTTAAATGGTAATGTACTTTGTTTGAAAATTTCCTTTTTGGTTGTTTTCTTATAGATACATATTTTTATGTAGGATAAATTACACGGATGGTCCCTGTGGTTTAGGATAATCTGTGTGTTTGGTTCCTAACAAATTTTTTTTTTTTTTTTAACTCGGATCGTCCCTATTTTATATTTTTGTTGCATGTTTGGTCCTTATTAGATGTAAAAAGACTACTTTGCCCTCATCTTATATAATTTTATATTAATGATTTATTTTATTTTTACTAATATATAAATTAAATATTAAAAAAGTTAAAAAGAATCCTAAACCTAATCTAACCCCACTTCCCAATTCCCTCATTCACGTTTTCTCCCACCTCCCGTCTTCTTCATCCACCGCCTCCAACCCTCTCTACCATTGCTGACCACCAGCAGCTATTACCCTTGCCACCAGCTTCCGATGATGGTTGTCTTTCCATCGTGTTCTTCCTTCAAAGCCCACCGACTGAACCACAAAAATCTCAGAGCATACTGACGAAGTTCGCCAAAGAAGGAGGAGATGAAGCAGACACTTGAACCAGATGAGACAGGTTCGATTTACATCGTGTTCTTTCTATAATATAGGTTCAATTTCAATTTCAGTTCGATTTCATATTTGATTTCGAGTATTGAGTTTGATTTCTGTTTTGGTTCGATTTCAAGCTTCACATTGCCATCGATTTTGATTTCAGTTTTCATGTTTAATTTCGGTTTTAGGTTTGAATTCATAATTGATTTCGAGTTTTGAGTTTGATTTCAGTTTCAGTTCGATTTCAAGCTTCAAATTGCCATCAATTTAGATTTCAGTTTTCATGTTCTTTTGGTTTCAGGATTGCTTTCAAAATCAATTTAAGGCTCAAGTTCCGATTTTGGTTATTATCGGAATCTGATTTATTGTCGGAGAAGACCAGAATCTCCATCGATTTCATAAGAAACCACTTATTTGACTTCTGATAACATGGCTCGGAACCACCAACGACATGTTTGAGATCTCTTCCTAGTTGATTTCTGTTTTTTTAGTTTATGGAATCTGTTTGGGTTTGATGGAGGTATGCTGGAGAATACATTATTTTGATTTTGGTTTGGTATATGTTGTTGGTTCGCCAGAGAACACAGAGTTATGGTGGTTTGCCTGAGAAGACGAATTTGTGGGTGGTTTACAGAGAAGAAGGAGAGGGGTGGGTGGAGTGATAATTTAGGATCCTATAATTTAGGACCCATCAGATTTTAATATTTACCTACTATCATTTCCACAATTAATTATTATTATTTTAATTAACTGATAATTTAAAAAAATATAAAAGAAATCAATAAAGGTAAATCAGTCTTTTTAAAACGAATAGGGACCAAACGTGCAATAAAAATTTAAAATAGGGATGATCCGAGTTAAAAAAAATTGTTAGAGACCAAAAACGCAGATTACCCTAAACCACAGGGACTATCCGTGTAATTTACCTATTTTTAATAATAAATACATATTTATCATTTATTTATGAAAAAGTAATATGTACTTTGAAGTATAAATACACATTTATTATTTATTGATTATGTATATACAAAAATATGCAAGAAATACAAATTTAAAGAAAAAAAATACAATTTTTTATGATCTAAGAAAAAATATTTATCATTTGTTTTTGTTTATGTATTTTGTATATAAAAATATACAAAACTTTTGGTGATAACGCACCTAAAGATTACCTTAAAACCGACTTTTTTTTTTTTTTTTTTTTTAAAAAAAAAAAAAAATGTCAGTGTTTATATATCATTTTCCTTATAAGAAAAGGCTATCTATGTGTTTTTCTTTTAAATATTTATTTAATGAATTAAAATAAATATAACTACCATAATATATCCATAATTATTTTTAATCAGTGTATAATTTCCAGAAACCGTTAGTCCGTACTCTGTTGATCACGTCGTACTTTCAGACCAAACAACCGTCGCCGTAGTAGTTCCGACTTCCGATGGCTTAAATTCCATGGCTGAAGAACGATTCAGTGGTTTCAGGTTAGGATTTGCCGTTAGTGGCAATCCACTTTAGGTCGTGCAAGAGAAGCCCAATTTGTGTTCAGATCATCATCGTTGTCATCACTTCGATGCATTTCTCAATCGCCCCTTTCAGCTTGTACCTTGACGACAATCTAAATCTGTAGCGGTGGCTCACGGTGGCTGTCGTGGTGGCAGGTGGTAGTTGCAGCGAGGTCACCAATAGAAAGACTTGGGCCTTAGATGTTCTTTACCCAAACTCAATTTGCAATTTGGATAGAGATGTCCCACATTACACTTAACAGAAACGAGTGGACAACAAACAAACACAAATTGCAACACCAGATCAGGTGTCAGAGAGAAGATGGCTACAAACCTTGTTCACGGCGTTTATCAACACCACCGCCGCCTGATACCACCGCAGCAATGTTTTAACTTCCACCATGATCGGACCTCCATTAACGTCAACACCGTATCCTCAAATCTGAAGCAGTTCATTAAGCTCCGTAGGAAAATTAGGGTTCCGAGAGCACCTCCGGTTATCCGTAGATTCACCACCATTTCTGCATCACTTGATCTAACCGAAGACAATGTCAAGCTCGTTTTAGATGACGCTAGAACAAAGGCAAGTTTTAATCTCATTAATCAATCAAAATTTCATATCCATAACGTCTAAAACCCTAAATTCGTTCTGATTTTGTGCAGTTTTCACACTTATTCGATGCATCAGTAGGAATGACAGGTGAGCTACTTTTCCATATCGGTTTACTTTCCAGTTTCCTCCATTGATTTCATTACCTTATTGAATCAAAACAAAAACGAATCTATGAAAACAGGAGTTGCAGAATTAGCTGAAGTAGATGGACCATTTGTGAAGATTAGACTCAAAGGTCGATTCTGGCATGAACGTTCTCTTGTTTTAGCTAGACTTGGAAACTATCTGAAAGAGAGGATTCCAGTAAGCTTATTCCATTTCAATCTTGTAACATTCTTCATCAATGGTTATAACAATGGCGGAAACGGTTGTTTTCAGGAGATATTGGAGGTGGACATTGAAGATGAGAAGCAATTAGATGATAGCCCTGAAAACTTTTGAGCTTTTGGATTTACAAATCAAGATTCATGAATGAATATCACAAAACCACAATGTTGTAACTTGTAAGCATTCATCTGATTAGCAACTAAAATACATCTTTTCAATTTTCATATATGAAATGCATTCATAAACACAAACAATACACAACAAATAATACACAACAAAATTGTCTATCAGTCAACTAGTTAAAACCAAATTATGATCAAACCCTGAAACAACTTGCAAAACATTTGTATCTTCTGAAAACTCAACCACCATTGGTTCATGTTCATCCATGGAGCTACCCAACCCAAGCCTCCCACTTCTCCCACACCCCCAAGAAAAAACCTCTCCATTGTCCGTGAGGACAATGGAGTGGACCCGCCCACCCGACACTGATACGGGCTTTTCCCCTAAAAGCCCATCCACAAGCAACGGAATATTCCCTGGACCTTCTCTTCCAAGTTGACAATTTTGCCCCCAACCCCATGAAAACACCCCTGAGATACCTTCACCACCTTCTGCAGATGGAATCTGGCATATAGCTAAAGAATGCCCTAGCCCTGAAGAAATTGAAACAGGGTGGACACTTATATCAACAGGAAGTAACTGTAACTCCAAATCTTGTGTTGATCTTCCCAATTGCCCATATACATTGCTTCCTCCACTTAATAAAGTTCCATCACCTGAATCAAGATTCAAAAACACTTTTTTTTTATCATTTTGGTGTAAAAAAATAGTATAATAGATTGGAGATTGTATCTGGTAAATAAAACATGACATAACAGGTTATACTGTATTTAACTGATGTTAGTCCTAGACTTACGTAAAAGAACCAAGGTGTGGTCAAGTCCACATGACACATCAGCAACTTCAACACCTTTTAATTCGTCAATCAAACATGGCTCCCATATGATAGGCATATCATTCTCTTTACTCATAGCTTCCAATACTACTTTTTCAGCATCTTCACGCTTTGACAAATTGTTTACAGAATCGAGTGGGGACACACCTGTAATTTCTCTCTTTCCTAATCTACCATCAGCTGAATAACCCCAACCGAATAACTTTCCATCTTTAGTAAGTGCAAGAGCGTGTCCCCATCCAAATGAGACCTGTTTGTTCATTACAATCTATCAGATGATATTATCTTTAAGATGATAATATCTGTTACTGAAGGTTTGATTAGTGATTCCACACCTTAATTATCTCTTCTTTTGAAAGAGATTTTATTTTGGTGGGATGAATGGCTTCTGTGATTCCGATTCCAAGACCTAATTGACCCCGTTTTGATTTTCCCCAAATCCATATACACCCGTCGATTCCAATAGCTGCAGAAACAACACCAGAGGCAAATGCAGATTTTACATCACTTAATCCCTCTATTCTTTTTGGTTCAATCCATGTTTCTCTGTTACAAAAAATGAACAGTGTTAATGTTCTAGATTTTATTTCCATATTGGCTAGTAGCATTCAGCGATTTATTCATGCTTAATAAAAAAAAAGAGAAAAGAAACAGCATACAATGTTAGGATTGTTACAGAAAATGCTAGATTTTTTTTTCTCCAAAATAGCTAGCCTAGTAGATTCTGGTAAATAGAGAGAGAAATGAAAATGAAAATAGGTGGAAAGTGAAATTGTACCTAGGGGAATCAAGGTTCCGACCGAGTTGTGATTCGGCATTGCGACCCCAAGACCAGAGGTGGCCTTGGGAAGTAACGGCGAGAGAGTGGTAGTGACCGGCGGCGATGCTGGAAACATCGGGAGGTAGGGCTGAGATTGGAGTGGGTTCGTAGGCGTCAGAATTGATTCCGGTGACGGAGATTGGTAAGCCAAGAGCACCATGGCTACCGTCTCCGAAACTCATTACGGTGGTGGTGGTGGTCATCCATCGGCAGTTGGTGACGCCTTTGAGAGGGAAGTTCTTCAAAACGCGAAACATCGGTAGTTAGAAGTTTTCGGATGGCTGGATCAGATCTTATAGTTAATTGATGCCTCGCCTCGCCTCGCCATTCATGAATCGGAGACCCGAATTTTCGTAGTTCGTCGCTTTTGGGGAATCCAAAATCTTAAACAAAACTCCCATCCACTACGATCAACTTATTTGTTTGATTTTTTTATTATAATTTTTTTTTTTCATTTAATAGAATTAATATAGATCATTTATATAAAATTAAATTAATTATTTATATTATATAAAATCATATTATTTTTGTGAACCACAAATCTAATCTACTTTATAGTTTTACTTATATCTCGCACTTCCACTTATGTCTATGCAAGATTGTAAAAAATAAATATCGCTAGACTTAAAACATTTTAGTATATAAAATCATATTATTATAATTTATTTATGTTTTTCTGATTTAAAAATCTTCTAACTTTTGACGTTTTGATTGAATATACTACTTAATGTTGTTTGTTTATTTATTTATTTTCACGTTTTATATAATTACATTATATCATATTGTTTTATTTATTTATTTATTTTCACGTTTTATATAATTACATTATATCATATTGTTTGTTTTTTTTGACATTTTGATCAAATGCATAAATTAATATTAAAAAGTTGATAACTATCAATCATCAAATATAATTATTTAATGTTGTTTTTGATATTTTGATCCAATACACACATTAAAATAAAACAATGATAACTATCAATCATTCAAAACAATTATTTAATGGTGTTTTTTGATATTTTGTTTGTTTACATCATCCGTTTATACGTCTGTTTATTCGGTTTTAAATTGTTATACAATTATCTTTTAAACGAACGATCTTATACGGTTTTAAAGATTTTGTTTGTTTACATTATTTCAATTTATAATTTAATATTAAAAATAATTTACAACTTAGTTATGTTCTTTTATATGAAGAAAATGTAAAGAAATACATTAAACATGAAAAAACATAAGTAAAAAGTTTGACAGGTACCAATATATATATATATATATATATATATATATATATATATATATATATATATATATATATATATATATATATATATATATATATATATTTTGTAACACCGTAAATTTCAAAACAAAATTTTCAATTTTCTTATAAAACATAATCGGATTAATATTCATCAAACAACCATATTAATTATCCAATATAGGTCAATACAAAATCCCAAGATCACAATGTAAAAACTCCGAGTGTGTGTACGGATCAAGCCGGCGCCTTCCCGCGGTCGTCACTAGTACCTGAAACAATAACATCAAACACTGTAAGCACAAAGCTTAGTGAGTTCCCCAAAATACCACGTTTAACACATAATAGCCACTCGAGGCTATAACTCTGTGGGTCCGTGCACCCAAACTCTGTGAACCCTCAGGTTCTAACTCTGATAAACATGCACCACATAAATCACATAGAAATAATGCAGTACAACACATAACATACATAGCATACAAATACTCTATCACATAACTCTGGTTACCTACTCAAGGTAAAGTATAGTGAGAAGACTCACCTCGCGTATCTCGGTATCTCACGAATCCTGGAAATCCCTCGTGCTCGATCCTCCGAGCTCTAATCCTCCTATAACATTATATGTCTCAATTAACACTTTATATCTCTAAGGTTGACTATCCCTAAGAAGTCAACACAGGTCAACTCTGGTCAACGGTCAACGGTCAACTTTGACCGGACTCGGCGAGTGCTACGGCGACTCGGCGAGTCTAGACGTTTTCACCAACCCTCTGAAATTCCCTTACTACACGTCGAGTATTCCCCCCTTACTCGACGAGTTTCACCTGGAAGAATCGCGGGGCCACCCCGACTCAACTCGCCGAGTCTCAAGAACAACTCGGCGAGTCCCAGTTTGACTCAGTCCACTCGTCATCCCTCTCCAACTCACCCTGACTCACTGAGTCTACCCATGACTCGATTGGACCACTCACTGAGCAATCCCAAGGCAATCTTCAAACTACTCGCCGAGTCTGATGAACAGACTCGGCGAGTCCATGCCATGCAACCACTCCAACTTGCTTCTAAGGTCAGATCTGCTTCCACAATCTATAGATCTGGCCTCCCTAGACTGATTCATCACGTAAAGCTTCTATCTTGGTGCCCATAACACACCCCATGGCTCATAAATGGAGTTTTGACCTAAGGCATGAGGATTCCAATCCAAAGCCTCCATTGATTCCCAAAAAGCTTGGGTAAAGGGACACTCTGGACCTCTAAGGGTCCAGATCTATGGTTCAAACCTCATAAGGGACCAAGAGGACACTAGATCTTGCCACAAAAGGGTTCAACAAACCCTAAATCTAGATAAACAACAACAAGGAAGAAGATAACTCGAAATTATTACCACAATAGTGATGCTCTGGACTCCAAACCCTCAGAAGTGGCTCCACTTGCTTTCCCTTGGCTAGTTCTTCTCCTTCCTTGCAACAATGACACCTCCAAGATCAATAATGGCCTCCTACTTAGCTCCAAATGCTCACACTCGATTAGGGTTTCACTCAAGGGACTGGTGAGCACAAATGACGGCCATTAGGCCCTTTAAATAGGTCTCAAACCCGAGAAATTAGGGTTTCATTACACAGCGCTGACTCGCCGAGTCCATATCCTGGACTCGCCGAGTCCAGGCGCGATCCCGCGACCAGATCCGCGTCCCTACTCGGCGAGTCTGAGCTCCAACTCGCCGAGTCCCCTCTCAAATCACCAAAAACACAAATATACAAGATACCTGAAAAATCCGGCTGTTACAACTCTCCCCCACTAGGACTAGACTTCGCCCTCGAAGTCTCGCTCTAAAAACAGCTCCGGATGCTGCTCCTGCATCATACGCTCTGGCTCCCAGGTCATCTCTGATCCCCTCCGGTGTTGCCACTGAACCAACACCAGAGGTACCTCCTTATTTCTCAGAACCTTGATCTTCCGATCCCTGATGGCCACTGGTCTCTCGGCATAATTCAGGCTTGCATCCACCTGAATATCCTCTAACGGAACCACTGCCGATTCATCGGCTATACACTTCCTCAACTGCGACACATGAAAAGTGTCGTGAATCTGTCCCAACTCTGCTGGCAACTCCAACCGATAGGCTACCGGCCTACCCTCGCAATCACACGAAATGGACCTATAAACCGGGGCCCCAACTTGCCCCTCTTCCTGAACCGAATCACTCCTTTCCAAGGAGAAACCTTCAGGAGAACGAAGTCGCCGACCTGAAATTCAAGCTCGGACCGGCGCCTGTCCGCATAACTCTTTTGTCGGCTCTGGGCGGTCAATAACCTCTGTCTGACCCGCTGTATCTGCTCTGTCGTCTGAATCACGATCTCTGTACTGCCCATCACTCTCTGCCCAACCTCACCCCAACAAATGGGAGTCCGACACCTCCTACCATACAACAGCTCAAAGGGCGGCATACCGATGCTCGAATGATGGCTGTTATTGTAGGAAAACTCGCCAAGGGTAAATACGTATCCCAGCTACCCCCAAAATCCAATACACATGCTCGAAGCATGTCCTCAAGCGTCTGAATCGTCCGCTCACTCTGGCCGTCTGTCTGGGGATGATATGCGGTACTAAAATGCAGTTTAGTACCCAACTCCTCATGAAATTTCTTCCAGAATCGGGAAGTGAAACGCACATCACGGTCCGAAACAATCGAGATCGGCACCCCATGCCGAGATACCACTTCTCTCACATAAACCTCCGCCAACTTCTCCGCCGAAGAACTCTCACTGATGGCAAGAAAGTGAGCGCTCTTCGTCAACCTATCCACAATCACCCAAATTGCATCAACTCCTCTGGCAGTCCTCGGCAATTTGGTGATGAAATCCATAGTGATCTGTTCCCACTTCCACTCGGGAACCTCCAATGGCTGTAACTTGCCATGCGGTCTCTGGTGCTCGGCCTTAACCCTTCGACAGGTCAAACACCTCTCGACAAACCATGCGACGTCCCTCTTCATACAAGGCCACCAATACTCTTTCCTCAAATCCAAATACATTTTCGTAGCCCCGGGATGGATCGAAAATTTCGATCTATGAGCTTCCTCCATCAATGTAGTACGCGTACCGCCCACAAACGGTACCCAAATCCGGCCCTGAAAAGTCATAAGCCCTCGACTATCCGAAACGAACTCTGAAACCAAACCAACGACCCGTTCTCTCTTCTGCATCTCCGGATGCACAGCCTCGGCCTGTGCCCCACGAATGGCGTCCAGAACTGGAGCTATCACGGTCAATCTCAAACATACATTTCGCAGTGGAGTACTCTCCGCCCTGCGGCTCAACGCGTCAGCTACCACATTAGCCTTGCCCGGGTGGTACAGGATCTCACAATCATAATCCTTGACCACATCTAACCACCTCCTCTGCCGCATATTTAGGTTAGGCTGATCCATCAAGTACTTCAAGCTCTTATGGTCCGTGTATATCGTACAACGAACCCCATACAAGTAGTGACGCCAAATCTTGAGGGCGAACACCACTGCCCCCAACTCTAGATCATGTGTGGGATATCTCGTCTCATGAGGCTTCAACTGCCTCGATGCATATGCTATCACATGTCCCTTCTGCATCAGCACCGCTCCCAGCCCTAAAATCGATGCATCACAAAATACCACAAAATCTTCCATCCCTTCCGGAAGAGCTAATACCGGAGCTTCGCACAACCTTTGGCGAAGCGTCTCAAAGGAGGTCTGCTGCTCGGGACCCCATAAAAATGTAACACCCTTCCGGGTCAATCTGGTGAGTGGCACTGCGATCTTGGAGAAATCCTTGATAAACCTCCGATAGTACCCTGCCAACCCAAGGAAGCTCCTGATCTCAGAGGGTGACTTTGGCACCTCCCAACTCATCACCGCATCAACCTTGGCCGGATCGACCAATATCCCTTTCTGATTAACGAGGTGCCCCAGAAACTGGACCTCCCGCAACCAGAAATCGCACTTGGAAAACTTTGCATAAAGTTTCTCCGATCTCAAAACCCCAAGAACTTCCCTCAAATGCTCCTCATGCTGCTCTCTAGATCTCGAATATACCAGAATATCATCGATGAATACAATCACCGACCGATCCAACATCGGCCTGCATACCCTGTTCATGAGGTCCATGAACACAGCCGGGGCATTGGTGAGCCCAAAAGGCATCACCACAAACTCATAATG